AACCACTTTTTAGTTGAATTATTTGGTGTTTTGGTGACTAGCTTCTTGAGTTCTTTGTGTATTTCCGAAATCAGCCCTCTGTCTGATGTGGGGTTCATGAAGATCTTTTCCCATTCTGTGGGCTACTGTTTAGTTAGGTTTGGTCTTTTCATGGTGTCCCACATTTCCTGGATATTTTGTGTTAAGAATTTGTTGGATTTAACATTTGTTAACAAATGAATTAATTTCCCCTATTGTATCTTCAACACCTGAGATTCTCCTTCTATTTCTTGTATTCTGTTGTTTATGCTTGTACCTGTAGATCCTGACTGTTTACCCAGATTTTCCCTTACCAGAGTTTCCTTGGTTTGCGTTTTCTTTATTGCCTGAATTCACTTTTTAAGTCTTGAACCATTGATTTCACCTGTTTGATTACCTTTTCTTGGTTTTCTTTTAGGGATTTTTTGTTTTCTTCCATTTTTTTGTTTGTCCTTTCCTCCACTTCTTATGGGAAATTTTCATTTTATCTTTAAGTGCCTCTGTTCTTCATAAAGTTATTTTCAAGGTCATGTTCTTCTTCTTTGTCTGTGTTGGGGTTTTCTGGTCTTGCTGATGTAGAACCACTAGTTTCTGGTGGTTTCATATTACTATTTATGCTGTTGAATGTATTTTTACACTGTCGTTTACCCATCTCGTCCTCCAGTCGGTACCGATGGGGCTTGGATTCAAGGGATCCCTCTTCCTCCAATTGATATAGGTGGGGGCTGTGGCTTAGGTGCTCGTTCTTCTTGTAGGTGCAGATGGGTCTGCTTCTCTTGTGGATGCTGATATGGCTGTGGGGCTTCTCAAGATGTAGGGGGTGCAAGGCTCTCATGGTCCCGGGTACTGTGAGGGATTTTTGAGGGTGTGGGGAGGGTATTCTAAGGCATCTGGAGCTTAAATGGCTGGGGGTGGGGAATGGAATTTATGTCTGGGACTAGGGCATAAATAGTAGTGTCCTCTAGTCAGGGACAAAGACACTTACCTCTCAATGTGTATTTTATACACTCAACAACTAATTCAAAATATTAATGTGAAAGCGAAATCATATATGTACATATAATCCTAATATGCCTTTTCTGTAAGTTTATAACAGCTATAAACATTAGAAATAACCTAAATACTGAGAATCTCCCAGCCTAGAATGACTCAAACCATTTATTCATATGACTAATAGTGTGCATTCATGAAAAATGAGTGTTTAAACTGTATTGACAGACATCACCCTTTAATTTATGGTTAAGTTTTTGACTTATTTATTCTTTGAGATTTTCACATCAGGTACCAAATCTCATTATTATCTCCCCAAAAGAAAACTAAAAATTATTATTTAAAATACCCCCAAATTAAACAAAAGCCCTACATTGCTCCTCCATCTTTCTCTCCTCTTCATTCATCTTAGTGGCATTTAGAGCTGTGGCGTGTCACACAGTAGAACGTGTTCACTCAGTTTTAGCAGTAAATCTTCATTGCAAGGTTGTGTTGGCTTGGTTCACGGCCTCTGTCTTCTGTTATACCATAAATTATGAACCTTCTCTGAAACACTTCTTGGACATGCTGCTCTTGCCCTGAGTTATGGAGATCCTTCGGCTATGGTTCTTCAGGAGCATCCCGGGAAGATTATACTTATGGTTAAGTCACTCAGTGCCACTCTGACATGTACCTTGGTCACTCCAAATAAAACCCAGAGTACTCTTGGTAGACATTAAGGAGACATTAAGTAGTTCATAGCATGCTGACTACTGTGTTGAACAGTGACCACTGGTTTCTCTTCATAAGAAAGCAATGATAAAATCTGTCTTCTATGTAGGGTATTTCCTTGGTGTCAACAAATTTCCAATTATGTGAGTTAAAGATAATTAGCCATGACATTGTGGTGAAACAAAACCTTTATATTTCCATTAATAGGTGTTTTAAAATTAATAAGTGATTTTAAAACCCACAATATCCCTGTGAGTGTAATTGAGCAGACCACGTTCATATGAGTGTGCTTTGTGCAGACACACTACAGGTTCACCAGTTCTCACACTGGTAAAAGATATATACTAAGCAGTACTGAGAATGCCTGGCTACAAAGAAAATAGTAACCCCCAAGTAATATGCTATGGACAACTGGTAAGTACAGAGAGTAAGAGGCCAGCTGAGTGGTCTTCACCAATCAAGGCTCCTGGAGACTCTCCTGTCTTCTGCAGACTGGGCACCTGAAATAAGGCACCTCATCTCTGCAAGTAGGATGCATTAGTGATGCTGGATGCAGGATGGAGACTCTGTGGTCAATGGGACATACCATCCTCATGGAGCTCAGAAGTTTACAGTAATTTCCAAGGTAAAAGTTGTATACTCTCAGAGATCATTCACCTAGAATATGACAAGATAATGTCAGGGTGTGTGTCTTAAAGAAGTAGACATCAGCTCAGAAAAAAGACTTTGTTCCCATCAAACAATAAGAAAAAATTTAACTGAGTGGTGATAATCACCCAGGTTCAGAATGGAAGTATGGAAGTAGCTTTTCTCTCCTGTGATATGAAGAGCTGAGGGATTCCTGGGATGGGACCATACAAGGCTTGTATTCTAGGGAAAAGTGACTAAGGGCAAAGGATATAGTTGCAAGTATATTTTGCAGGTCTACCCAACTTTATCTGACAATTTGTTCCATAGATGCACTGGTAGGATGTGACTGAGTCTCAGGGGACAAAGATATTGTTGGGTAAGCAGAAGGCCCTGAGTTGGGATCTCAAGAACTCTCACTAAAAGGTTTGTACACAATGTTAGTGTATTATCACATGAAGGAGACAATGGGATCCCATTGGCATCCAGCCTAGCTTAAATGGAGGGATCTGAGTTCATTGAAAGACCCTATCCCAAATATACATTGGAGAATGATTGAGGAAGAGATTGGACAGCATCCTCTGGTTACTACAGGGTGTGCATGCATATGTACACACACACACACACACACACACACACACACAGACACACGCACACACACACTTGAGGAAAGATCATGGCAGACTGAAATGGAGACATAAGTTTTAATGTGAGAAAGAAGCTAACGACATGCTGGGTGAACACTTGGTTACTTGTCATCCAAATATGGTTAGTTTTTGAGTCAAAGCTGGTGATACATTCATGTAATCTCCCCAACCAGGACAAAAGCCTGCAGAATCATAAGCTTAAATCTAGTGTGGGGGTACAGAACACAAAACTGTGTCACATAAACAAGTGATTATTTGTGTGTACTACCCAGTTAATGATAGAATGTTTAGAAAAATATGGCCAAACCCACAAGTTATCTATGGTATAGTGGACCCTCCCTGCTTTAGTTTGAGTTTCAAACACATTCATAGTTGCCCAAATCTCATCAAGAATTGGGAGAAAAGGGTTATAGAGATTGGTCAGAGATGAAGAATGCTGAGTGAGCTTCCAGTGAACCTGGGTTTGTTTCCAAGCCTCTATAGTGAGACTAACAACCCTCTGAAACCCTAGTTTCTGGGGGATATGATGACCTCTTCTAGACTCTGAAGGTACTCCATGCATTTATCACACAGACATACATACAGGCAAAACAAGAATATGTGTCATTTAAGAATAAATTACTTTTTAATTGAAAGAAAGAAATGTGAAACAAGCAGAGAATAGCAATACATGGCTTTAATCCTAGCATTCATAGGCTGAAAAAGGAAGATGACCTTGAGTTCAAGTTGAGTCTGAGTTATATGGAGAGTTCCAAGCCAGGCTGGGATACAATATGAGACTCTGTCTCAAGAAAATTTAAAATTCCAAACAAACTTAATCAAAAGATATTATGTGACAAAATGGTCTATTTCAAAACAAGGAAGTATTTTTCAAAAGGAAAATTAAATTATAGATTTGTTGCAATGCCCTTGAAAGTTCTGGTGTCATAATTTACAGATAGAGAATAAACTATCACAATTAGTATGAAGCAAAACAACCCACCTCAAATAGTAAGGCAAAGCTAAGGAGTAAAAACAAGCTGTAAAACTCCAAAGCATGACATCAAAATTCATGACAGAGCCAAAGTGAAAAGGACAGATCGGCATGGACATAAAAACAAACAGTCAAACCTAAGGAACAGAGCAGAGAATCTGAATATAAAGTGACAAGTGACAAAACTATGGCATCCTAATTCATGAAAAGATCAAAGTAGCAATTTTAGAAATGATTCACCTGAAAAGAACTCATATGCACATGGATCCAGAGCAGAATTCTGGAAAGTAAGACTCACATCAGTGAAAGAACAGACAATCAAACAAGGGATGGTGTCTTCTGAACTCTTTGGATGCTTGGAAGTAGTCAATGGGTATTTCCGTAGAACAACTAACTGCAAGCAGTCTATTGGTGAAGATAAGCTTGAAGTTTTCTGGTACTGTTGCAAGAGGAAGTAGTTGTGAATGGACTGGGGTCTCTGGAAGCACAAGCTTATGGTCAGCCATGGTTTCAGTTTTCTTTTCAGTTAGAGTGTGGGTCCATTATAGTGTCTATAACAATCACCAAGAAGTCAAGACACCCTCATAGGATGAGAGGAAGGTGATCACGGGAAGAAAAGTTTTATGTTTTATTGGTTTTACAAGCTGGTTTTCTAGCTTATGTGCATCAGCTGCACAATGAGAAGCATCTAGGAAATGTAACTCTCATGGAGGCTGCTAAGTCAACCAACCGACAAAACTCCCATATTCATTTGCCTAATCTTAGAAAGACAAGGTGGTACCTACTTAACTTTTTTTTCTGAGATAGGGTTTCTCTGTATTGCTTTGGAGCCTGTCCTGGAACTCACTCTGTAGACCAGGCTGGCCTCGAACTCACAGAGATCCCCCTGCTTCTGCCTCCCGCATGCTGGGATTAAAGTTGTGCACCACCAATGCCCGGCTCCTACTTTTTGTATTGCCTTTCTGAGGGGAATAGGTGCATAAAAACTGGATTCCCCACAATTTCATCATTTATGTACCGATAATAAAGTGGAATTATTTTTTATTCCTGATCCAGCTCAAAGAAAGCCTGAACACAGTGGAGTAATGACTCATGAGGACAAAGGGTCCAAAAGATGGGAAACATAGAGAAGTGAGGCGTGTGATGTTCACCAGCCACCAGTCATGATTATGCAGAAGAGCAATGCAGCCTCGTAAAATGGAGGAGAGAGTATAAAACGCCAGGAAGTTACACACGAGGAGCAGGATATTCTGGGTGGCTCTAGACTCAGGAGAGGTTCTTCTGGAACCATGCTTGCTGTGGATGTGTTGAACTCTCTGCTTGTGTCTGTACAAAAAGACTATCATGGAGCCACTAGACAAGGCAATGAACACAGAAAACAAGACTTCAGGGCACACCACCAGTGCTGTGTAGAGGGAGTCATTGATTTCATTGCGCCCTACAATTGAGCAGTATCCAAAATCTCGTTTTCTTGTCATGTTTTTGCTACTGAGTTTGATAAGTGGGTTTAGAAAGAAAATAAAATTTATCAACGTGTAGAAGACCCAGAGTAGGGAAATGGAGCAGCCCATGTAATTTACGGTTCTGACTTTATGATCCTTCCAACAGGATTCTCTGAATCTGATGCTGATGGCCTGGAAGACACTCAAGAGGCAAATGGTGCCAATGGACACACTGCGGCCAAATGCCTGCATGCATAATAGGAGCCTGCAACCAAAATCACTCACGAACTGCTTAAACCCAAACGCTGCCATTGTGTGTGGCACTCCTGCAGAGAGAATGATCAAGGCATTGGCTGACATTAAGTTCATCAGAATCAAATCTGTGGGCTTGAGTATACATTCTCTGTAACAAAGGACCAGATGGTAGAAAATTAGACAGAAATTTCCCAGAATTCCAGTTGTTGTTTGTGATAAGAAAGTAATTCTGATTACCAGAATCCAGAAGTCCATTCTGTGACTCAGCACAATTTCCGTGAGATTATGTCCTTGATATTTCTCTGGTCAAAATGAATAACAGTGAATGTTTGTAGCTTTTGGTAAAAGAGGATACCTTTATACCATGGACCTATGATGAGCTTAAGCAGAACATCACTTAAATTCAGGAATTTAAGGGCAGACTATAGAACACAAAATGTTTTCATCCCAAAAATTTTGATACGAGTAGTCCCTTTCTGTATATGTCACTATGAAACTGCTCAACACATCAGAATGCACACATTCATGGAAGAAGAAAAATTAACTTTCCTAGAAAATCCAGCATTTAGGACAATATGATGTTGACCTGTGGAAAACAATGAAAAGTGACAGCCCATACAAACAAAAACAATCCCAGAAAATACTGGTATTCACTAGTCCTCATATAAAAGAAGACAGATTTAATAATGATTGCATAAATATATTGATTCTTTTTTTTTGGTTTTTCAAGGCAGGGTTTCTCTGTATTGTTTTGGAGCCTGTCCTGGAACTTGCTCAGTAGCCGAGGCTGGTCTCGAACACACAGAGATCCACCTGCCTCTGCCTCCTGACTTCTGCGATAAAAGGCATGTGCCACGAATGCCCGGATTGATTCTTATTGTATATCTTAATTGCATTAACATATAAGCAATAGGAAATTCATAATACCACTCAGAATATATGTATGGTCTTTTGACATGGCTGTTTCTTCCATCTTGTCTAAGGTTGAGCCATTACTGTTTTCACCTGCTACTCACTCTTCCTTGCCTACTCCCTCCATGAATAGTCCTTTGGAAAAGTAATCATGTTCTAGAAACTGGGAGCCAAATGTGTAGGTAACTGTCTGTTTTTGTATTGTTTTGAACTGCTTGCTCGCTTTACTTCCCCGTGAGATTTGATAACTAGGATATAGTTTTTCTGCATTCTTTGCCTCTTAAAACTCTCAGTTAAATTCATTTGAGGCAGCTCTGTGAGGAGTATTTCTTTTCAAGCAGTCACTTAAGGCTGACTCTCAAGTTGGACTTTGACATTCTTGAATGGTCTTTGGGTTTCAAGCCCACAATTGTCTTACAAAAGAAGAACTGATGAAGAGCACAGTACATACTTGATGATGGTTCAAGTGATAACTTACATCATCATAATTTAATTACTGTATCTTATGGACTTTGGGAGCCCATTACCCATGGAGGGATACTCTCTCAGCCTAGACACACACGGGAGGACCTAGGCCCTGCTCCAAATGATGTGATAGACTTTGGTGATCCCCCATGGAAAGCCTCACCCTCCCTGACAAGTAAATGAGGGGTGGGATGGGGAGTTAGTGAGGGCATGGGAGGGAGAGGGAACTGGGATTGTTTAGTAAAATAAGATTGCTTCTAATTTAAGTAAAAAAGTAAATCAAGAGAAAACAAATACAACATAAAATAAATGTTGAGGCTGAGAAAAATATAAAAAGTACTGTATCTTATGAAAATTCACAGTATATATAGACAGCATATGCATCTGTGTGCACTCAGATTAGAGGTGTTAAAGAAATGGGTGCATCCAGTGCAATGAAATTGTAGAAAAGAATTAAAAGAGGCAAAATATACCGGGACAAGTATCAAAGATAAGAACAATGTCTGTCGAATGACAGCTACTGGGGAAATGTTCACTGTCTGTATTAAAACTGTGTCTGCAATAATCAGGTGCCGCTCCCATGTCTAGAGTGGAAATGGTAGGAAAGAAGGCAGTGTGGTGTGATAGCTCATCAGCGCAGTAGAAGAAGCTCTCAGGATACCATACACCATTCCTGGGAAAGAAGATGTCTGCAAACCCTTCTCTAATGAGGTGAGGTCTCCAATGTCTGTGAATCAGCACCGGTGTCAACAGAGAATCCGCAGGGATGACTCTGCTGCCTTTTCCTGCTCATCAACCCCGCAGGGACAGCCAACTGAGCAGTCAAGACGTGGCGAAGAACCAGTGGTGAAGCTTGGGATCTAATGTCGTTTAATCAGAGTGGGGAAGATGATCAGAGATATCAAGGAACTTTCCAGATATTTACACTGGCACTGTAGAGCACCCTGGGGAATGGTTATGGCAGAAAACAGAGACTGCTCTGCTGAGTGATGCGCTCTAAGTTCATAAAGACAGATTTTTGTATTATGAATACAACATTCTGCCTTCATGTATGTCTGCATCCCCAGTAGGATTTCACCTCAGTCTTTGAATCCTGAGTTCTACAGAAGGATAGAGATTTAGATAAAGTTTCCTTTAGTGACTTTAATAGAGCTGGTGCCTAAGGGAACAGAATTCCTGTCTTGCTGCAGCCAAACCACTGCTGGTAGGTGTGGAGTTGCAATTGCTGGTTGGGATGGCAATTACTTACGATGCAGCCTCACTATTGGAGGCAAAACAACAGAGGGCAAATGAGCACAGAGTGTGTCAGTCACAAAAAGGGGGATTTCCATAATGAGGAAAAGGAAGCACATTCCAGTTTTCTTTAGAGGCATCAGTTACTATGAAGACGATGGAGGACTGGAGCCAAGATTGATGAGAGAAGCTTTCTCTACTCCAGCATGAGGGACCCACAGAATTCAGGAATGGTATGATGCTGAAATTGCCCAGAAATTGCAAGGAAAAATACTTTTGGAAATTGCTCAATTTATCATGACTGAAGAAAAGAAAGATGGAGCCATTATAGGTTTAAAGAGAAATCTGGCACTAGGGAAATGTCCAGGGATCCACAAGATGACCCCAAGTAAGAATCTAAGCAATAGTGGAGAGGCGATCTTAAATGCCCTTCCCCTATAATGAGATTGATGACTGTTTTTAATGGCATCCTAGAGGTTTCATTCAGTGGCTGATGGAAGCAGAAGCAGATATCTATAGCTGAACTGAGCTGAACTCCTGGAATCCAGTTGTAGAGAGGGAGAAGTGATGAGCAAAGTGGTCAAGACCATGCTGGGGAAAACCACGGAAACAGTTGACCTGAGGAAGTGGGAGCTCACAGACCTCAATCTGCTAACTGGGGAACCAAACCAGACCCCCCGAATGTGGCTGTAAGTTGTGGAGCCTGTGGAGTTTAGGGGTCTCTGGCAGTAGAACCAGTATTTATCCCTGGTGCACAAATGGGCTTTGGGAACTCATTCCTTATGGAGGGATATTCTTTCAGCCTAAATACATGGATGAGGGCCTAGGTCCTGTCCCAAATGATGTGTCAGACTTTGATGATCCCATATGGGAGGCCTCACCTTCTCTGGGGAGTGGATGAGGGTGGGATGGGAGGTTTGTGGGGACATGGGAGGACAGGAGGGAGAGGAATTGGGATTGGTATGTAAAATAAGATTGTTGTTACTTTAAATAAAATTCATTTAAAAACAAAAAACAATTATCTGCCTTAAAAATGACCTTCCTGTAGCCAATATTACTGTAGCCAATATTACAAAATGCATTCCACATTGGTAGATTTACTTCTATCAGACATTCCAGGGAGTTACTCTTGTGTTTTTTTCTAACTATAAACAGCTTTAGATCATTTTTAAAAAGAGAATTCTATATGCGTATGCTGAAGAAGACAATGATATATTCCCCAAATCATATGAACTAAGAAAAAAACATCAAAATGTACAATAGTTGCTAATGTTGCTAATAGTTGCTAATGCTAATAAAAGCCGTGCACAGTGAAAATGTGGTCTACCCTCTGAATTGTTTACCAATAAGTCTGTTTCCTTCAACAATGCAGCAGAGGCCTGTTTTGGTTAATTTGTTTAATGGGATTTTTGGCCATAATTACAGAACAGTTTTTGTTCTCTCTACTGTTTTCCAAGTTGTGTTTCACTTGTAAATTTCCCCTTAGATGTATGGTTATGTTGTCTGTTTCATTAGTTTAAAAAGACATATATAAAGAAAGAAAGGAAGAGAAGAAGGAAGAAAGGAAGGAAGGGAGAAAGGAAGGGAGGAAGGAAGGAAGGTAGGGAAAAATAGAGTTTTGGTAAAGGTTGTTGTTTGTATGGAGCTGGTGTCTTCATGAAACTCAGAATCTTGGTTCCAACCATGGTCCCAGAAAACATCAATATTTTCTGAATACTGATAGTCAATGTTCCTCAGAAAACTATAACACTGTTCTATACTTTATGCTTTTGCTGCTTCTTTTGACAAAAGTATAAGCATCATTTAAGATAAGCTCTGCTAAACATGGCACAAGTGAAAACCTAACATTCCTGGGAGATTTCTAAAGTTCTACCTACTTGGAGTTGTTCTCACTGAGAAGACAGGCACATTCCCAGGAAGATGATGCCCATGGACTAATCCAGTCATATCTGTGTAGATGGAAAAAATTTAAATTATTGACAAGATACTTCATCCTAAGAGCTGATGTGGCCTTTGAGACCTCTTGGATGACAATGACTTTAATTAACAAGTTTAATTAATGAGATTAAGATTTGAGTACTTAGCTTCCCAGGTGCATTCAGCATAACGAGGTAAGAAGAAGTGTTAAAGAAAAGAAGAAACAGTGATCCCTATCCACCTCAGCAAGAGACCACTGTTTGTTCAGATCTTTGAGGGAACTCTTCTCAATTCTGGGAAGGGTTGTTCGTCATATCCATAGGATCCTGCAAATCAAGCTGTGCTGTGGTTACACTGGTCACCTCAACTGAAATCCAGTATCCTCACTGGTAAATCTCACTTCATTTTATGTTTTTAAGAATTAAATGTATAATGTCAACTACAATTTTTTAAAAAATATTATTTTTTGTATGTACACCCATCTGAATCATCCAAATCCTATAGCCCTTCTTAACTAATCGTGCCTCATTCTGTGGATCAACACAGACCTAAAGACCAACGCCAGTGCTCAGGTCCCATTGATTTGATTCCATTCTTCATCCAACAGAGAACACATTCCTGTGTCACTCAGTGAAGTAGACAGCAAAAGTTACCTCTCCTGTGTCCAGTTCCCTCAATCATGCCTGACCATCTTCTGCTATCTTTCAGTCTCTTGTGTTTACTGACATATCAGCCAGAAATAACATGTCCTTAGTAACACATA